ATGTAACAAAGAAAGATAATCACTATTAACAATTCAGTATATAGTAGTTCATAATCTATTGTAATGACTAGAAAATTTGTTTCTTTTAAAGAAAATATTTTTATCAGGTGGTTTTGCAATGGGAAAGAGGTAGGTAGACAAAAGTAAAAAGAAACAGGCAACCAAAAGACAAACATTATGAAACACCCTGGAAAGAGCAATCGATTTTAGGACATGATGGATGGCTTCACAGCCTGGCTCTGCTGCACCACCTAACAACCAAGGCCTTTCCCCCTTCTAGGTGAGAATCCTTTTATCTCACTAGGCTGTTTGAAACTTAACATAATGCACATAAATGAGTTCTGTTTGCTGGAGTTCAGTTTTGTTTTTCTTCATTTGCACATAAGAAATCATCTGGGGAGCATTTGAAAATGAGAATCCCAGATGTACTCAATGAGAATCTCTAGGGGTGGGACCTAGATAGAAATCACAATCAAGTGCATCTTGTTGAGTTAAAAAGCAGTATGCATACTTGTGTTTACTATCACAGTTTAGTATTAACAACCTCCTAGCAGTGGCTCAGCGAACACGGGTAGGATGAAAAACAAATGAAAAATCATATATTAAAAACAGATTAGCTATTTTTAAAATATTTCATTAAAAAAATCAATTATTACATAAGAAAAAATTTTCTGAGTAAAAATAATTGTCAATTAGACTTGATAAAAGACTGGAACCCACTTCTATCTGAATACACCCACATGGTTCACTTTTCATCTTAGGTCATAAATCAAGGCACATACATTGCACTAATTTAACTGTCAAGGAATCTAGTTTATCTCATAAAAATCAACTCATGAAAATTAGATAAGAGGTAATTTTGAATTCTAATAGAGCCCTCCAAAGAAACAATTACTGTACAAGGATTTATTCCAACCTTTTATCACATACAAAACTTTATTTTCTTTCAGTAGTTCATTTTAGGACAATTCAAATTTTTTAGGATCCAGCTTCAATATGCAATATATGCCACTTTTAGAAAATATATGTACCTGATCAAATTGAAGGAAATACGCCACCAAAATGTTTACAGTGCAAATTTACATAGAAAATGAGTTCAGATTTCCCCTCTTACTGTTTAATCTGTCATTTTTTACTTTTACAATCAATATGCAGTACACATATAATTTTTCATCTGTCATCTTTTTGGTTTTTTTTGCATGCTGTAAATTTTTTTCTTCCATTAAAAAAAAGTGTGAAACACTGGGAATTCAACAAGGGATAAATAAGAATCACAAAGGCTTTTTTAAGTTTTGATTTTCCAAAGTCAAAACAGTATCAAGTTAAAACTCTGATTTTTATTTTTGGGAAAAATAACCTTTAGCATACTACTGCTAAAAATTCTAAAGTTCTTTAGCTATAAAAATGACAGGTTTTTTTTTATTTTTACCTGTTACAAATTTTTTTAAATTTATATATATATATATATATATATTATTGATATGTATTTTATGTCTTTTTTCTTACAATTGACTGTTTTTTAATGCCACAGAAGACATTGGGTCCACTAACAAAATGGAGTACAGACAGTAGGTTTGATTAATGTATTGCATTGTTAAATTTTCTTAAGATGGTAACAGTTCCAAAGTTATATAAGACAATGCCCTTGTGCTTAGCATACACATCGAAATTTTCAGAAGTAATCTCTGATGTAGCAACTCACTCTCAGAGTTTGGCAAAAAATACAATTGATGATAAAGGATTGACTGGAGGGAAATGTGAACAACTGGTGAATCTGAAAAAAGGGTAAGAGTTTTTAATACACTTGAAACTATTTCTAAATAAAAATTTTAAAGGAAAAAATTCTGTTTGTACTTTTCCTAAAAACACCTAAGATCATATTGAAGTACCTCCATGCAAGTCTATTTTGAGGGGGAAACAGCAATAATTTAAAAATTATGCTAATAATTAGCTCTGTGTAGTAGAAATACAATGTGTGAATCATAATGCAGTACTTTTTAGTAGCCATACTAAAAATTAAGACAGGTTAAATTAATACATTTTGCTCATCCAGCGTCTGAGATGTTTTCATTGCACTGTATTTCAACATAAAGTTGATGATAAATTTTACAATTTTTCCCTTTAAATCTCCAAAACTTGGTGTGCATTTTACACATTTCAATTCATATGCTACATTTTCATAGGAAATACTTTATCTGTTTGTAGATTTCATAAAATGTACAGCTAAAGTGGTAGATCCACATAATCAAGTTGTTTCATAGTTAAGTTTTTCAATCACTTAGCTGATTATCAGTTTTTAATCAATTAAAATTAAATAAAATGGGAAATTAATTCTTCACTCAAGTTAGGCACAGCACAAGCTCAGAAGTCGCGTATAACTCTAAGAGACACTTCAGCTTTAAGATGAAACAAATTCCCTCTAAGAAAGACCTAATTAATAAAGTTTATATTTATCAAAAGACCTTTAACAGTTAGGACAAAATGATGACACTCCCATTCTATAAATACCCTGTAAAATCACAATATTCCTACCAAAAGCCTTAGTAGCTCAACAAGTCAAACCAAAGTTTCCCTATCCCAGTTGGAAATTCAATGTAAAGCAGGCTCTAACCAGTCTCAGGTGTGGCACTTTGAGTTTCCTGAAAATTGGCTATCAAATGGCCCACTTTTAAATGTGGCAGAATGATCTGCAGTCCTGGCTCTCAGAAGCCTCTGTGTCCATTGTATAGCATGCAGTTTCCACATAACACTGTCTGAGAATCCCAAAGAGGAGAAGGAACCCGAAAGAACTTGTCTCAGATTTAAAAGAGGAAATGGCTCTGAGAACAGAGGTTTTTTTTTTCTTTTTAAACAGGTGTAAGAGATTAACTCAGTCAACACCAAGGAACACTAAAGATTCGCCAATCAATAATTCTGTGCCAAGCAACTTGATCAGGGATTTGGCAAGAATCCCTTTGGCTCATCTCAATGGGGACCTTCCCAAAGACATCCTAATTTAGGCCATTCTCTCAATTAAAGTTTAGGGTGTCATTTGCCTGACAACAAACAAAACCAAGTTGTATACATAAGAATAAAATTCTGTTTAATGGACAAAAGAAAAAACGAAAGATAATTTAGTTAAGTATTGGCAAAAATATAGTTCCAAAAATCAAGAGTAACCATAAAATAGCATTTACAGAAAATGCTATTTTAGAGAAATGTCTAATTTCCATTTTCTAGTCTAACTTTTCAAATATACAATGTTGTGGGGAACAACTAAATTTACTCCACAACTAACCCTGATAGTTTTTCTTTGAAGATCAGTGTTAATATTCTGTTTCAGAGGGGGATAATATCCATTAAAATTGATAAATTGTTTATTTTGTACTTAATGCCTCTGGGAAAGGAGGCAAAAAGAGTGTGTACAATGATTTTTTGACCCCTGACCTAAAAATTAAATTCTATACTCCATACAAGTCTTTTTTTTTTTTTTACTTTTCCTTTCCCAACCCCTCTGATCTAGCTTACTTTCACCCAACATCATACCTAGGACTAGGGAGAGAAATCTAACCATTGTGTACAGAGACTAAAATCCCCATAATCTGAAAGCATGTATATGTAAGACGCATCTTCCCTATTTTTTCCCCTAAATGATCATACAGCTTTAAGCAGGAGGAATACAAACATTATAAGTCATTCCACATGGGGTTTTTTATATTACCCCTGGAAGTGTTTAAACATTCTGGAAAACACATTCTAACTTGGGGGTTTTCTTAGAAAGTTCCCAGTCAATGCCTACATAGTCAAATCCAGATTCACTTTTCCCTGAAATTAGCTAAATAAGCAGAAATCAATCGTCATTTCAAAACCAGCGATGAGGGAAAAGAAATAGACCACACCAGAAATACATTCCTGCCCAACAGTTCACGCATTATCTCCAGAATGCAAGTCAAAATAAAAACCCACTTATATACAGGAACAGAGAAGTGTCGGTGCTGCAGCTGCTTCCAGAGCATGCTGCAGAACCCACGCCGACCCCGGCAAGACTGCCTGCTCCCCCGGCCTGAACTCCAGCCCAAACCCAGGAATCCAGGCCACTTAAACGCCTCGCAGCACAAAGATGTTTACGGGGTTATCAGATGCAGAATTACTTAATTCTGACACCCCCCCAAAAGTACGATTAAACAAGTTTTACGACGTATTCCCTCGCGGAAATCCACTACAAAAAGGATCAAAGACAGGCGGGGGAAGCGGGGGGTGTTCCCCCTTGTTTACTAGACTTAGGCAAACAGCTATACTTAAAAATTCCTCATAAGGCTTGAAGCCAGAGCTGTGAATCCACTCGAGAGGATGGCAAATAGGTGGCTGCGGGCACACCCGCTCGCTGCCTGGTGCAGAAGCTTTCTCGCCGTGCAGCCCGTGTCGCTCGCTTCCGAAACACAGCACTTTGCAAGGGCCAATCCGACAAGCCTGCAAGCCACAGCCAAAACCTCCTTGCCAATAACGGCTGTATCTACTGCTTCCAGGTGGGAAGCCCATCACAGTCTGCGGGCAGCGCGCGGCACCCTCCAGCCCCGGGGCTGGGGTCTGTCTGGGGCCGCCCCAGGGTCCAGAGCCGTGGACTGTACGCGGAGCCGCAGGGCGCAGTGGCAGTCTCGCTTTGTCCCGGGGGAGGGCGGGGTGGGCGTTCTGAGCCGCGCGGGGTCCCCAAAGGATGTGGCGGCGCCGCGGGTGGGATGGGGGCTGGGGCGGCCGACGCGGCCCGCCGCCCCCCGCATCCCCGATGCCTTTCATTTGGCCTCTGCGGCGGCGGCGGCAGCCCGACCTCCAGCGCTAAGCACTGCGCCAAGCAGGGCGGGCGGGGGAGGGCGCGCCGGACCCACCGCAGCCCCGGACCACCTTCCCCTCCATCCCCGCGCCGCGCCCCCAGTCCTGTCCGACAGGGACCCGCCGCTCGGGCGCAGGCCGCGCTCCCACGTCAGGCGACAGAGCCTACGCTCGGGAGCTCTCCAGGTCCCCACCTCAACGTAGCCGGCCAGCGCCGCGGCAGGCGCGGTGAGCCCGAGCAGCAGCAGAACTAGGAGCCTGCCCGTGGCCGCCGCGGCCGCAGTCCCAATGGCCGCCATCCCTCGCCCGGTCGCTCTAGCGCTCGGCTCTCAAGCTCACTCGCACAGTCCGGAGCTTTCACCAACGCGACCCAGGAGCATCTGAAGCCCGTTCGCCGCCGCCCCGGGGGGTTTTACACCAACCGGAACTGACTTCACATAACCACGCCCACCCTCCCTGGCCCCCAATGCCGGCTCGCAGAGCCTCCCGAGACACCGCCCCCCGTTCCATCAAGATCCAATCAAAAGACAAAGAGCCTGCCCCCTCGCGCCCGCCCAGTCCAGGCCCCCGCCTCCGGCCGCTGGCGGCCCCGCCCCCTGTTAGGACCCTGCAGCCGGGAGGCGCGGGGGTGTGCGTGGTGGAGCTCTGTGGCCCAGGTTCCGCCCCGGGGTTGGGGCTCGCACTGGCCTCCCGCACCCAGCAACCCTAAGTGAGTGCGGTGCGCTAGTCTGTCCGCCTGCAGCTTCTAGATAGAGCCACGCCCCGCTCCCTCCACCCTTGCGGGTATTTTTCAGATTCCTTTGGGTACCGCCCTCTTTTTGGTTCTGAATATGGTTTTATTAAAAAAACCAGATGAATTGTTCGGGGTGCGGGCAGGTTTGCAGAAGGTTTCCCTGAGGCTGGGGAAGTTCTAAGTGAGGCAGCCTCTCCTCTCCCGACTCCAGTGCTTGGCGCGCCTCTCTCCCGAGCGAGCGCTGCTTGCCCTTTCCTCGGCGCTAAGCCGGGCGGTGTTGGACGCTTAACCCACACTCTTCAGGCCTCGACCTTACCCTTCTTTCCTAGTGTCCACTCTAACCGGAGAGCGTTGCTTCCCACTGGAGACCCATAAAAACCACGTTACCTTAAAGCCCAGGTTACCTTCCTCGGGTGTTTTAGGAAAAGATCATTTTTCTTTCTTCAGTTTCTAATCACTAGCAAGAGACCTGCCTCGCTCTGCCTTCTTGCTCCACTGCCTTTCCACGTCCCCTGGGGATATGTTCTCCTGCCCCATTTCACAACTGGCACAGGCTCACAAGGCCAGGGCTCCACTGGCTTTGTTTCCTTTTAAAAGCCAGGTGACTTATGGACCACCCTCTGCAGAGAACTGGCTAGGCACTTTAGGTTTAAGCAAATAAAGAGAAGACAGGCTCTCTACCCTAGCAAAAGCTGCAAGTGTACAGCTTTACTCAGTGGCATGCCCATTTCTGCGTTTAAACTGGCCCTGCCCCATTCCCCAAAGACAATTTGGGCTTTCCCATTACAAAGCTCTTCTTTATGTCTGCAATGTCCTTTCTTCAAAATCTACCTGTTGGAAACAATCTCATTCTTCCTCTGTAATGTCATCCACTTCTGTATCCCCAGAGTTCCATTTCCTGGCACTTGTTCCCCTAGTCATCTCCACACCTCTCTCATGCCACTGACCAGAATGGTATGTCACACTACAGAGCCCCTCACAGTGGAGACCCCACACACACATACATGATTGTTCAGTGTTACCTTAACCCCATTATGCTGGGTTCTGGAGCTAGTTCTGGAATTGTTACCATGGGCTAAATGGCCTCCTCCCCAAAGTTCTTGTATGTTGAACCCCTCAGTGTGATAGTGTTTGGTGAAGGGGTCTTAGGGAGTTAAAGAGGATTAGATGAGGTCACAAGGAGGGAAGAGATCAAAGAGTTTGCACCCCACTTAGCACCCGCCAGCCAGTGAGGAGACCGGGAAAAGAGTCCTCTTTCCCTGACCAAAATAGCCCATACTATGATTTGGACTTCTGAGCCTCCAAAATTGTGGAAAATAAATACTGTTGCATCAGCCACCCAGTATGTGGTAGTTTGTTATGGCAGCCGGAGCTAGCTAAGATGTCTGGGTGGGTCCCTTCATCACGTGGACTTTCTCTGTCAAGTGTGAATGTTAACAACCTGTCTCACTTCACCGATTTGTATGATCCAATGAAAGTGAATATACAGAACATAGGAGTGAAAGAAGGTTGCAGCGACATGTGACGAGGAGCATGTTTCTCCTATCAATGTGCATATGGAAACTTGCAGCAAGTACAACTCCTGCTTCTGTTGGGGAGCTGTGTGTCAGTCATGTAGTCCCTCTGGGACTTGTTTTCCCTCTGGGACTACAAAATCAGGTCCTTGACCTCAGGTAGTTCTAATTTTCAGTGAATCTAAAAGCTGGGAGAAAAGCAAGCGATATTTTCTGACTTCAGAGCAGCCCAATCAGTTAGGGTGAGGTAGTTGGCTGCTTGCTTGTTGCTTCCAAGTCAGGGTGTTTTCCAAAGCAAACAACTTGTCTAAAAAGCTCTACCTCAGAAATTCTGATTTACTTAAGGTGACATAAGGGAGTCAGGTTTCTTTTTTTAGGACTTTCAAGAGGATTCTAATCCTCTAGCCCTTTGGAGAGCTTGATTCTTGAATATCATGGACCAGTTTAAAAAGAAAACAAAATGTATAAAAATTGGAATAGTTCATGGAAAATTACCTATTTTTCCCCAAATTAAAGATTAAATGAATACACAACTTGGTAGTATCACCATCATTGCATTTTTGAAAAGAACATTTAACAAAAACAAAAAATAAGACTGTTGTAACTGTAAAATTTTAAAATTGTAACCTAAAATTTTAAAATTGGTACAATGTAAGTTTCTGACAATCCACTGGCCTTTATTTTTCTCATTACAGATCAGACCGATGAACACTTTATAATGGAATAGACTTGGTCTAACACAGTTCTTGAAATATTGCAATAAAGGAAATAAACATCTAAGTGCTGGCTTATTGAGCTGGTGGCCTTTTAATATGCCAGCCCCAGAACGCATTCTCCCACTACCACCCCAGCCCCATCCATGGCTGACCCAATATTTAACACTTGGTTCAAGTAGCACCCACTCAAGAAAGTATTCTTCTCTTCACCTTTTCTATGGCTGAGTTGGTGCACATCCTTTGTGTTCCATATTTGTTCTGCACACACCTCTATCAGTGTATTTTTTTTAAAGATTTATTTATTAATACAGAACTGGGGTACAGGCCAGAGATGTGGAGGGTGAGAGAATTCACTAGGAACAGAACGGGGAGCAGAAGAGGCAGATCAACGAAGTACACTGCTGAGGGGAGCAGCGGGCAGTCAGTATATTTTTTTAAGATGTATTTCTGCATTCAAGAATTGGGGTACAGGCCAGAGATGGGGGGGTTGTAAAAGGATTCACCAGAGACAGAATAGAGCACAAAACAGGCATCTCTACTGAAATACACTGCTGAGGGAACAGTGGGTGAGACAAGAAAGTTCTGCACCATGTGGGTCACCTCCCTGGCCAGGTTTCAAATTCATGCTACAGTGGCTGCAAGTAGCTTCACAGTGCTGCCCTTTAACCTGTTGTGCCACCACGGAGAGCCCTGTCAGTCTATTTGTAAACTAAATACTAATCATTTGGTTTCTTTACAACTTTCTTTTTTTAAAAAAGATTTATTTATTTATGCATACAAGAACTGGGATACACGCCAGAGGTGTGGAGGGTGAGAGGATTCACCAGAGATAGAGAGGGGAGTAAAACAGGCAGATTGATAGATTGACCAATATACACTGTTTAGGGGAGCAGTGGGCAAGACAGGAGAGGTTTGCTGTGCCATGTGGGTCACCTCATGGTCTGCATACAGCTTCTTAGTGTTGTGCTTTAACCCCTTGCACCAGCAGGGAGGCCCCTTTACTGTCTTCTTAATTACATCAGGAGACCCTTAACAGGAGGGGAACATGTTTTGTTCATCTCTGTACCTCCAAAATCTATCACAGTGGTTGTACTTAATAGGCATTCAAAAAGCATTTGTTGAGTGAACTCATAGCTAAGTGCTTGACAATATAGAAGAGAGGATAAAATTTATACATGTTTAAGTGTAGCACTAGACAGAAAGTCATAAATAGCTTTAGAGAATTACCTAGATATTTTAGGGAATTAAGAGGAGGAAGTTGGTTACATCTTGCAAGGACATCCGGCAAGAATCAGAGAAATTACATCTAGATTTCCCAGGAATATACACAGGATGTACATGTATAGTATTCAGGAAGATGAAATGTATGGGGGAATACTGTGAACAAAGGAATAATGCTGAAAACCTACCATGCATGTAAAAGAATAGGGAAAGAGTCACCTAATTGGAGCAGAGGATTTGTAATAAATAGTAAAGGTGAACTGTTTGCTGGGTTTAAAAATATTGAGGTGAGATAGAAATCTTTAACAAAGAGAATTAGATTGACTTTTAGGCAAATGAGTATAATTACTATATGAGGAATAGAACCTAGAAACAAGTAGCCCAATTAGGCTATCTAGGGTGATAATGGGGTGATAGTGGGGAAAGAGTAAAGATGGGCTGAACTGAGAGTTAATGGAATTGGAAAGGAGACAGGTGCAAAAGGTAAATCATTGACCCCAAGGGTAGTGAAGGAAAAGAGGAGGCATAAAAAGAACCTTGTGCCAGAGTATGGTACCTGGAAGAATGTGGAATGTTGATGTCATTGGCAGAAATGGGGAAAAGGATGAGAAGACGATGGAGATGGAAGAGGAGCGGGAGATAATGAAATGTCATCAAATTTCCTGCATGAGATGCAGAGTAATTACTTGGAGGAAAGCTCATAGAGAGATTGGAATTAGAATTAGTTTAGGGTGTTAGCAACCCAAAAGTTATTTATTAAATCCATGAACTAGCCAAATGGGACAGTAAAGAAAGAAGTAGAAGCTCAGTATATGTAATTTTTCTACTTAACCAATATCTATTTTCATAACAAGTCAAAAACTAAAGAAGGCCAACAGGATAAGGCTTAAGGAAGGAAAACTAAACTTACATACTTGAATTTAGTCATTGGTCATTTCTTAGTAAAAATAAAAGCAATTAAAGAAAATAAAGGCTTAAATACCTTGTGAGAGACAGTTAATATTCTCAATAAAGACGTTTTCTATTGCAAAGAGAACTAGTAGAGTAGCTGATGTACTTGGAATGTTTTATTGTTGCTGCTGTATGTAGTCAATAAGAAGGGATTGGCGGAAGGAGAGAAATTGAAAATACAAGATAGGTCCATGAAATCTGAGTATTAACCTCAGTTTACAGATAAGGAAACTGAGGCTCAGGAAAGTTAATTTGTCCACAGTCCAATAACTAACAGAGAAGAAAGTTGAATCTTGGTTTGTGTGATTCAGAGATTCTTC